CATTTTAATGCCTGTCAGATCTACAGTAATGCACACTTTTAAATTCCTGATATTGATAATTTATGTCTTCTTTTCTTGATCAGTATTCTAGCAGCTTGTCAAATTTATTGGTCTTTTCAAAGAACCAGCTTTTAGTTTTACTGCTTTTTCTCTCTAGTTTGCCCTTGCTGTTTCACTGATTACTGATCTTATTTATTCTTTCCTTTGTTCTGTATATTTTAGATTTAATTTTCTCTTATTTTTCTAGCTTAAAATTCCCTTTCTTCTTTCACCTGTGGGTTATTTAGAAGAGTGCTCTTTAACTTCCAAATATTTGGGAATTTTTTCAGATCTTTCTGATAGTTCATTTTTAATTTAATTCTGTGGTGGTTGAGGAACAAACTCTGTAATTTCTATCCTTTTAAATTTATTGAGATTTGTCTTATGGCCCAAAATGTGGACAATTTGGTGAATGCTTCATGTGCAATTTTAACAAAAGGGTATTATACTGTTGGGTAGAGTATTTATCAGTTAGGTCAAATGTCTGTAGTGGTGATCAACTCTTCTATATCTTTACTAATTTATTTTTGTCACTTGGTCTATCAATTACTGAGAGAGGACAGTTGAAATTTCCAGATACAATGGTGGATCTGTTACAGTTCTGTCAGTTTTTGCTTTATGGTATTTTGAAGCTGTGTTATTAGGTGCATACATATTTAGGATTGCTATATCCTCTTGACAAATTGACCCCTTGATCATGAAATGTTCCTTTTGGTAATATTCTTTGTCTTGAATTCTGTTCTCTTTTTTTTTTTTGCGGTATGTGGGCCTCTCACTGTTGTGGCCTCTCCTGTTGTGGAGCACAGGCTCTGGACGCGCAGGCTCAGCGGCCATGGCTCATGGGCCCAGCTGCTCTGCGGCATGTGGGATCTTCCCGGACCGGGGCATGAACCTGTGTCCCCTGCATCGGCAGGCAGACTCTCAACCACTGCGCCACCAGGGAAGCCCTCTGTTCTCTTTATTAACATAACTGATTCAGCTTTCTTTTACCGTTCTCTTCATGGCATATCTTTTTTCCATCCTTTTATTTTCTTTAATTTTAATTTTAATTTTAATTTTTTGCAGTATGCGGGCCTCTCACTGCTGTGGCCTCTCCCGTTGCAGAGCACAGGCTCTGGACGCACAGCCGCAGGGCCCATGGCTCACGGGCCCAGCCGCTTAGGGGCATGTGGGATCCTCCGGGACCAGGGCACAAACCCGTGTCCCCTGCATCGGCAGGTGGACTGTCAACCACTGTGCCACCAGGGAAGCCCCATCCTTTTATTTCAACCTATTTTAAGTGTATCTCATATAACAGCATATACTTTGGTTCTACTTTTTTACCCAGTCTGACAGTTGCTGCCTTCAAGTATCTACACAGGGTTTAGCAAACTATGGCATGCTGGCCAAATCCAGCCCACAGCCTGTTTTCCTATGGCCCTTAACCTAAGAATGGTTTTGCATTTCAGAAGGGTTATAAATAAGTAAAGAAAAGAGAATATGTTATAGGGACTATGTGTGATCCACAGAGCCTAAAATATTTACTATCTGACCCTATTCAGAAAAATTTTGCTGACTTCTAGATAGACCATGTAAATTAAATGTAATGATTATGTTTTAATCTATCATCTTATCATCTATCCTTTCTTCCTTTTTTTCCCCTATTTTCCTGCCTTCTCTTGGACTAATCCTGTATTTTTTAGTATTCCATTTATCTCCATTATAGGATTATTAGCTGTACCATTTTTGTTTTGTTTTGTTTATTGTTTTGGGGGTTGTTCTAAGATTTCCAATGTGATTTTAAAAACAAAAAAATCTTACTAGATCTTCCAATAATTTTCCACTTCACACATAATTAAAAAATCTTAAAACTGGATATTTCCATTTCCCCTTCCCATCTTTTTTACTACTGTTATCAAATATTTTATTTCTAAATACTTGTAAACCACACATGCTTTTTTTTCTTTTCTTCTTTCTTCCTTTTTTTTTGTGGGTGTGGTGTGCCACTCAGCTTCTAGGATCTCAGTTCCCTGACCAGGGATTGAACCTGGACCATGGCAGTGAAAGCCCAGAATCCTAACCACTAGGCAACCAGGTAACTCCCAGTTTTTTTTTTTCTTTAAATGGTCAATTATCTTTTAAAGAAATTATGAGATGAAAACAATATCTTTCTTATTTACCTCCGAATTTATCATTTCTGGCACTCTTCATTTCTCTGTGGATAGAAGTTTTTACCTAGTATAAATTTTTTCCACCTTGAAAAACTTCCTTTAACATTTTTTGTAGCATGGTTTGTTACTCTCAAAGAAACAAACCAGGCTTCCCAGGTGGCGCAGTGGTTGAGAGTCCGCCTGCCAATGCAAGGGACATGGGTTCATGCCCCGGTCCTGGAAGATCCCACATGCCGCGGAGCAGCTAGGCCCATGAGCCATGACCACTGAGCCTGTGCGTCCGGAGCCTGTGCTCCGCGATGGGAGAGGCCACAACAGTAAGAGGCCCATATACCGCAAAAAAAAAAAAAAAAAAAAAAAAAAAAACAAAAAAAAAAAAA